AGCAAACACTCACTCGACCATAAAGCCCAAGGGCCACATTACTTCGAATTCGAGCAAACACTCACTCGACCATAAAGCCTACGGGCTACATTACTTCGAGTTCGAGCAAATACTCACTCGACTATTAAGCCTAAGGGATACTCTTACTTTGAGCTCGAGCAAACACTCGCTCGACCATAAAGCCTATGGGCTACAATACTTCGAGTTCGAGCAAATACTCACTCGACTATTAAGCCTAAGGGCTACTATTACCTCGAGTTTGAGCAAATACTCTCTCGACCATAAAGCCTACGGGCTACATTACTTTGAGTTCGAGCAAACACTCACTCGACTATTAAGCCTAAGGGCTACTATTACCTCGAGTTTGAGCAAATACTCTCTCGACCATAAAGCCTACGGGCTACATTACTTTGAGTTCGAGCAAACACTCACTCGACCATTAAGCCTAAGGGCTACATTACCTCGAGTTTGAGCAAACGCTCACTCGACCATAAAGCCTACGGGCTACATTACTTAGAGTTTGAGCAAACACTCACTTGACTATTAAGCCTAAGGGGTACTCTTACTTTGAGCTCGAGCAAACACTCGCTCGACCATAAAGCCTACGGGCTACAATACTTCGAGTTTGAGCAAATACTCACTCGACTATTAAGCCTAAGGGCTACTATTACCTCGAGTTCGAGTAAATACTCACTCGACCATAAAGCCTACAAGCTACATTACTTCGCATTCAAGCAAACACTCACTCGACCATTAAGCCTAAGGGCTACATTACTTCGAGTTTGAGCAAACACTCACTCGACCATAAAGCCTACGGGCTACATTACTTCGAGTTCGAGCAAACACTCACTCGACCATTAAGCCTAAGGGCTACATTACCTCGAGTTTGAGCAAACACTTACTCGACCATAAAGCCTACATGCTACATTACTTCGAGTTCGAGCAAACGATCACTCGACTATAAAGCCTACGAGCTATTCTTATTTCGAGTTCGAGCAAGTCCTCACTCGACTACTAAGTCTAAGGGCTATTCTTTCTTGGGGTACACCGGTTCTGTTTGTGAAAAAGAAAGATGGTACTATGCGAATGTGTATTGATTATAGGCAGTTGAACAAAGTTACAATCAAGAATAAATATCCATTGCCGCATATTGATGACTTATTCGACCAGCTTCAGGGAGCTAGGGTATTCTCCAAAATTGATTTGAGATTTGGGTATCACCAGTTAAAAATTCGGGATTCGGATATTCTAAACTCGTTATGGCCACTACGAATTTCTTGTGATGTCTTTTGGGCTAACCAATGCCCCAACAACATTTATGCATTTGATGAATAGTGTGTTCTATCCATATCTTAATTTATTTGTCGTAGTATTTATTAAGGATATTCTGGTGTACTCACGTTGCTAGGAGGATCATGCACAACACTTGGGTATTGTATTACAGAGGTTGAGAGATGAGAGTAATAGAGGATATAATAATAATTCACATGGGGAATCAAGAATATAGACACCTCTAGTATTTCTATGAATAGTCATTTATGAACGTTGCGTATTTTGCTCTAAGTCCTCAACTTAAACTAGTAGCTCATTTACGTAAATTTGGGCAGCATCTCCCATGTAACTAGGCCCTCCTCCTCTAATACCATATATACCAACAACAACAAGAACATAACAATAACAACATATAAGCATCATTTTTCAACCTTATCTCCATCACAATATACCACAAAAGCTCGAAGTCATTATCGAGCTCGAGTCCAAATCGAACTATGATGTGAAGTGGCGTTATCGAACTCAAGATCCAAGTCCGAGTCAATACCGAGCCCGAATCAATATCGAGCTCGATTCAGTATCGAGCTCGAAATCTGGAGATCGACCAATATCAAGTCCGACCAAGATCGAGCTAAGAGACAAGAGTCGTTGTAGCCTCACTTGGGGAGAGAATCTCGNNCTCGGCGGGAATTAAGGAAAAGCTAAATTACCTAATCTATCATGGGATTCCCACTATGTATTGTTTATTATATCCAAAGTAGGATCCCTCCACTATAAAAAAGTGGTTATCATTTCTGTAAGAGGGCAATGGAATATTAAGACATCTATACACTCCCATATGAAAAAGATTATTGATATTCATGTAAAGATACAACAAAGATTATCTTTTTGTGGGCTTTGGACATTGATTCATCTTGCTTGTTTATAAATCATTCTCTACTCAATTTGGTTTATATTTTCATTCCTTTTTTACGGTCAATATTTGATATATATTTCTACTTACTTTTCCGATTTGTGCCAAGCTATATCACGTGTCCTTAGAACTACGTATAAATTTAACTCTATCCGTTTTTCGGGTAAACAATGCAGATTTTGGAACTATTAGTATTAGTATTAATGTCACATATACAAACAAATGTAACGATGTTGTATTGCTCGGAGGGTTTCAGTAAGTTCATATACCAATTATTTTGCTACTTAATACCAAACTTTGTTTAATTTTTGGTAATATTCATTTTGTATCTAAGTTTTATGCATGGTGTTATAAATACGTAAGATTGAGTAGCTTAACCGTACCGTAGCAATTGTCAAGGGTGCAAATAAAATTTGTAAATGTTGTTTGATCTTTCTCGCAACATGTCCATGTACAACACTAAGTGCAATGTTTTATACTACTTATAAAATATAACTAAAGGAATTAAAAAAGTAATTTCCAGTTTCCATTCAACCATGTTTTCCTTTAGTAGAATTCAGATCGGACAAAACAATAAAAGGAGATCTAGTATCATGAAAATAAAAAAGAAAATTACGGGGATCTTCTATATCACCAATTCCTCTGGTATTCGTGATTTTCATTGTCGCTGCAAAAAATTTGCTTTCAATTTTGGATCCGATTCTGACGAGATGTGAATAGGACCGCGCAATCAGGATATGGTTTTTAGCCATCCATATAGAATGTGATGGAATGTTGTACTTATATACAAAATGATATTTCAAAGCTTACAAATGTGACGTTTTGTGTTACGGTTGTGATATTTCAATGGATGGTCATTTGTTGTGTTATTGTAAATAACATTTCGTAATGCGTTTTGAGCGTTTCGTAAATTCTTGTTTAATGCTAGAAAGGAAGAAAAGACTTTTACGGACAAAATGAGTGAAAAATATCCAAAAAAGGAGAGAAAAGATAAATAACAATCATGATCTATGAGATGTGTCATGTAATCACTTTTTGCCCCTATATATANATTTGCAAGAAGTAGAAAATCTGTCGAGGATGAAATTAGAACTCTTTTCACGATTTTCACCTATTTTATTGATTGTTAGGTTATACTATTAGGTGTTGCATGCGAGAATTTACTTTTGTTGGAGACTTATTTAGTGATTCGGATGTACCTTCTAAGATTCTTTAGTTCAATTGTATGTATTATTTTTCATGTTCATTAATACATCTGTCAAATTCAATTTTATCTCATTCTGAGAATATCATTCAATGGCTATTACTTTTCAATGTATTCCTAAAGGTGCAAGTGCACAAGTATTGCTTGGACAACCCTTATTTAAAAAATAGCCGAAGTTTATAAATATTTCTAAGTTTAGTTATTTCAAAATCAATTTTCACCCATGGAGTATGGAGTTTAAAGAACTTTAGACATATGGGTCTTAGGTTAATCTTCACAAAACTTAATTTTCGACCGGTAGGCATATTGCTTTTGTAGTTTGAATTTCAGACATTTAGGTCTTAAGTTAAACTTAACAGTCAACTTCGTATGTGTGAAGTTTGAACTATCAAACCTAACTTCAGACCCAAATGCCTGAAGCTGGCACAACATAGGTCATAAGCTGGTTAAAAAGGGAGTAAAATACTTTATCATATAGTGTAAAATATTTACAAATAATTCAGTTGAATAAATGTATCTTTCATGTGTCTTTACTCTATCGTTTTAGTACACAAGCAACAAAAATTGGATTTAATAACTTTCTTATGGTATATCTATCAGATTTTTTTTAATCGTGATAGGTGTTTATCGATTGCGCTTGTCTTGCGTTGTTTTTATGCTTTTTTACCAAGAAATATATTATTAAATTTTGAAAAAAGAAAGAAAAAGAAGATACTACAGTGTAACAGAAACCACGACATACCCGAATCTTACGTCAAAGCATCTAAGAGCATATTTGGCCAAGCTTTTGGGAAGCCATAAGTACTTTTTTTGTCGAAAAAAGTAACGTTTTAGAATTTTGATGTGTTTGGCCAAGATGTGAAAGTGCTTTTGAATAGTAGCAGAAATAATTTTTCTACGTTTGGAAAGAAGTTACAAATTGGCCAAGCTTAAAAAATCAACTTGTTTTGAGAAATATTTTTTCTCACTAGTGCTTTTCTCAAAAGTTTTTGGTAAGAAGCAGTTTGTGTTTGACTAATTAGTTTCAAAAATATGAAGAATAAAACCTGTAATATTAATAAGAAAAAGTAGGAAACGAAATATAATCATTATATAAAAAAGTAGGGTAAAGGATAAAATATATCTATTTAATAATAAAGAATGGCAAAATGAGAAAGAAAAAAAAGAAGAAGGTAACGACGCCACCACACCAAATCCGTTGTTACATAAAGTGTCACTTTTCGTCGTTACGTAACGAAGGATTTAACGACACGATACGATAAAATTTAAGTAACAATCAAAACAAACATTGTATTTAAAGTAACAATACGATACAATACAATAGGTAACAACCATCCAAACAAGCTGTAAACAATAAGTAATACTGGATACCTAATATTATTATTTTAGATAATTATATTATATTGATTAAAATCTTTAATATATAGTTTTATTTATATTTTATATTCTAATTAAATAAAAATAAAAAAATTAATTGAATTACAATAAATACATTTATTATTATTTTTAGTAATTTGACGCTCAAAACTAGTTTTGTTGCCAAATACAAACTGCTACTCCCTACAAGTACCACTTTTCAAAATAAGCCAAGCGAGCTCTAAAATGTTAATTTGGGAGTATTTAAGCTAAAACTTTGAAAAGAAATGAAAATTTACAATGGAGGCACTCAGCAAAATTAGGGCATTCAGTGAGAGATATTCCTTAGCTGAAGATGAGGAGAATTTCTCGCAATGGTATTCCCTTTCTCTCTTTCTCTGCTATTTCCCGTTCTTCTTCGGCAATTACTGTTAGAGTTTATTCTTCAAGTCATAGTAATATGTCCATTTCGGCAAAGGGTAAATTTGGGGTAAATAGCAAGCTTGAGAATGTCAAGTGTTTAGATGACGCTGTGACTCTCTTCCGTCAAATGGTCAGAAAGCAGCCTCTTCCTTCTGTTTTCGATTTCTCTAAATTATTTAAGACGATGCTAAATATGAAGCATTACTCTGCTGTTGTTTCTCTTTTTCGAGAAATGCAGAAATTGGGTATCCCAATTAATGATTTCATCTTGAATATCGTGATTAACAGTTATTGCCTGATGCATCGTGTTGATTGTGGATTTTCGGTGTTACCCATTTACTTGAAGAATGGCATTCCATTTGATGTTGTCACCTTTACCACCCTAATTAGGGGAATCTTTGCTGAAAATAAGGTTAAAGATGCAGTTAACTTGTTCAAAAGGTTGGTGAGAGAGAAGATTTGTGAGCCTAATGAAGTCATGTATGCAACCGTCATGAATGGGCTCAGCAAATGGGGTCATTCTCAAAAAACCCTAAGTTTGCTCCGCTTAATGGAACAAGGGAACACTAAGCCGAACATATTTAACTACAACATTGTCATAGATTCCCTTTGCAAAGATAGAAACTTAGATGCTGCTATCAGCCTTTTGAACGAGATGAATAAGAAAGGCATTCTTCCGGACATATTCACATTTAATTCATTGATTGATGGTTTGTGTAAGTTTGGTCAGTGGGAAAAGGTTAGGACTTTGTTCTCTGAGATGTTAAACCTTAATATTTATCCAGATGTCTACACCTTCAACATGGTTATTGATGGACTGTGTAAAGAAGGGAAAGTCGAAGATGCCGAGGAAGTAATGAGACACATGACCGGAAAAGGTGTGGAGCCTAATGTGATCACCTACAATGCAATAATAGATGGATATTGTTTGTGTGGTCAAGTGGATAGAGCGAGAATTGTTTTCGATATCATGATAGATAAGTGCATTGAGCCTAATATTATTAGCTATAGCACACTAATAAATGGATACTGCAAGAAAAAGAAGTTGGCCGAGGCTATGCAATTGTTTCATGAAATTTCTCAAAAGGGATCAAAACCTAATATTATTATCTACACTACTATTTTGCAAGGTCTGTTTGAAGTTGGAAGAATTGGCAATGCAAGAAAGTTCTTTGCTGAGATGCTATCTACGGGGCATGTACCTGATTTATACACTCATTGCACTTTACTCAAGGGTTATTTTAAGTATGGACTTGTTGAAGAAGCTTTGTCACTCTTTAATGAGTTGGAAAGAAAGACAGAAAATGCTGATATTGAGTTTTACAATGTTGTCATTAATGGATTGTGCAAAAATGGTAAACTTGACAAAGCTCATGCTATTTTTGAGGCGCTTTCTTTAATTGGACTACTTCCGAATGTGAGAACATACACTACAATGATAAGTGAATTTTGTCTAGAAGGGTTGTTAGATGAAGCTACAGATATGCTAAGAAAAATGGAGCACAACGGTTGTTTGCCAAATGGTATCACTTACAATATTATTGTTCAAGGATTTCTCAGGTGCAATAGAATTAGTGAAATGGCAATTCTTATGAAGGAAATGGCTGGAAGGGGCTTCTCATTTGATGCAACTACAACTGAGTTATTGATTAACGTTATAAGGGAGAATCCGTCCGTCCTTGACATGATACCAGAGCTTCACTTGGAAGATAAGAAGTGAATATTTATTTTGCTTGTTTTATTCGCTTTTAGTATCACTATGATACAGCTTCCGTTTATCCCGGCAAAGGTATGTCATCCAATTCCAATGCAATTGCAGAAGCTGAATAAAGGCAATTAGAACGTTGCTTGAGCTTTCCAGGCAGGCCTATTTGACGAGGTACATCAATTTTGATATTTTTTATTGTTTTCCACTCTTCTTTATATTGGAAATCAGATATTACTGCTCTATTTGTTTAATAAATGATGTGAGTTTCCCTTACATGTACACATTATAAGTCTAGGAATATCATTTTCAGTGTTATCTTCATGTATTATCATTTTCTACTATTTGAATATAAATAACTGTTTTCTGCCTTACGGAGCATTGCAGGTAAGAGCCACAAAAAAAAGAGAGAGTAGATTTTGTGGTTTAACATAAAATATTTTTTAGGTGATGTAATAATGTATTGGGCAAGTTTCTTGTTGCTCTTGTGGAAGTTGCTGTAAGTTTGCCTCTTTTATTTATTTATTTTGGTCAAAACTGTAGTTTCTTGCTCTTATTCTCTATTGAGCTATTTTTTTATCACGACACTATTTTAGTTTCTCTGTTCACTTTAGCCCTCTGTGAGTTGGTGTCACACTCACAAGCTTAATCAAAGAAGAATCTCACCACAGATCTAGAGGGAGAGAGAAACGTTGAAGGTGAAATATGTCAAGTTATCATTTGTACTCCTTAGATAGTCATAGTTACTGACTTACTTCTCTTTGGATCTAAGTTATAGTATAAGAATTATTTTAAGAGAACTGCATTGAGTTCGAATTGTCACATATCCTTGTAAAGAACTTTTTATGAGTTTTGTTATGGACTCTCTTGAAACCGAGTCTGCAGATGGTATTGAAAATTCAATTTAGGTAATTGCACTTTTTCCTTTGAGTTCCTGAATATGCTAAGCCGATATTAGATTTTTGCAATATGTGGGTTTCTATAATCTATAGTACTTCATTTCTCTATTGTGCTCACAGACATAGAGGCGAAGAGGAACATAGGAGGGAGGTGTTTCGAACACTAACATGTAGTTCAATATCTTTTGTTTGAGGTAATTCCCTCTAATTCAAGGTTACTGGTTTAGGATATTGATTTTCGTAGTATGATCAAATTATGGAGAATCTTTGCTCTCTGCTATGTGTATTTATGACATTATTCATGATGAGTTCAAAATTCAAACACTTAGTTGATGGTTCAACCTTTACTGTGTCACCGGGCACCAATCCGCAGGCTACTCGGACAGCGAATTTCTTCCGATTTTACGAGGAAAAATCCAATTTGTTAGGTTGCTCCGCATATTTAGTTAGACAAGAATTTATCCTTTTCTTCATTTGATTATTGATTTTAAAAGTCCAATACTATATTTATGCCTTTGTTCGTGAAAGAATTTTTCCGTTAATGAAATAGGAGCTTGGTTACCCCAATATTTGCAATAGTAATGTTTGAAGTTCAAAAGTGTGAATGCAATACCTACTTTGATTGCTTCATAAATTTCTGTGTTGTTTCTTTCGGAAGAACTTGGATATTGATGACTGCTAATTGATTGGTTAGCCTAAAATTTTTAGTATCGTGTGTAATAATTTATGAATGACCAGTAATTGACTATTCTTCTGCGTGTGAACTATTAGTGTTAAATCCATCTATTACGACAACTTTTGTTTACTGACTATAATATTTTGAGTACCTAAATCTAAGATATGAAACTGTTCCTTTACCTTAGTGTAGGCACTTCACCTAATACCAGGAAGAAACTTATAAGATACATCAGTTTCTGCTTGTATGAATTTTTTCTAATGTATGCATAAAGTAATAATGAAGATGAAGTAATTATTGCAAATCTTCTACACGTAGTTCTATATTTTTTTACTATATATTCCAAATCTTAGTCCAATTTTTGTCTCTCTATTTTACTCTATTGAATAAAGAATTAGGTCTCTTTTTTTTAATAATAATTTTTTAATTGGTGTTTCTTTGTAGGTCGCATTTCCTATGATAATGTTGACACCCTGAAGGAGATATATTGTTTATGTTAAAAGGTAAAGAAATGAACTTTCATACCTGGTCAGCTAGAAAAAATTCTTACAATTCCCTTGTTGAAAAGTAATGTGATATTATTTACTTTTTTAGCTGAAACTGCCTTGACTTACAGTTATGTTCTATTTGGCAAAACATGTGCTTGGCAACTAGGTGTTTTGAAATGTGATGTGAACAGAAATCTAAGTTCAGCTTTCGAATTGTGGATTGCTCAACTCTAATCATCAAATTATTATAGAGTAGTAGTATCATTGTCTAGGCAAGAAATAAACTATGATGTGTTACACATCAATATTAGATTTACAGTGATTTAAAACTATTACATGTGAATAAAAGGTTGTGAAATTTGAGAAATCTCATGAGTGCATTGAATTACGAGAATAGGCCATAAGATGTTAAATTACGATAACTTTTGGAACTTTTGCTATGCATTGCCCAATATAGAAGCTTATATCATACACCAGATATAAGTGGGCTAGAAAGAGTTATAAATTATATGCAACTCCATTGAGGAGGATGTTAGGAAGACATGAAAACATTGAAGGTACATACTCTGTATATAATTGATTGTTGCTACTTGTGTTGATACACTACCCAAAATATGTTTTGCTCTGGGATCTGATAAAGAGTAATGTTTACGTTTGGCATAAGTTTTTAATTTATTTTGGGACTTGAAATTGGTGATCTTCTCGCATTTTTGTTTGTTGCTTCAGTATCATTCGTATACCATTTTGTTTTGCATATGCAGTAAAGCACCTAAAACATTTGATTTTCTTTTTTTGCAAGAGCGAAAATTTGGTGCAGCTTACCACAGTTTGAAGCCCTACTGGAATTCATTACCTTTAACTTCGCAATGCATTGTTGGACCTTTTTTTTGAAACTCTGTTTTTGTACTCCTTTATTTTTAATTTTTATGGACAAAAGTATGTGAAGTTACCTACCAATTTCACAAACGAATTAAGTATAGCTATTGAATTAGGAGTAGTTCAAAGTGCCCATGAACATTATGTAATCCTTCTGAATTTATCTGCTAAGAGGATAAAAAAAATATTTTGCAAGCAGGATGGTTAGATTGATCACTGTGGAGTATATTTGTGAAATGCATTGTTTTGTTCCCTTCCATTGTATTTTTTTTTTAAGAATTCTTTATATTTATGAAATGTATTGCAAATAGTACGTAAAAAAGAATGGCAAGAACAAACTGATAATGAAAAAAAATATATTGATTAGGCTGTGGTTGGGCCCGTGCATAGCACGGGCTGCTCATATCTAGTAGTTAATATAAACATGCAGACTAGCTACCATATGATTGATTGCCCCTGAGTATATTATCCATCTATTTTCCTTGACCATGTTGAGTAGTGACAAAGGTATACCTATGACCTTATCATGTGATGTTTCATCAATATAGGTACTATTGGTCTTGTTCAACATCTGAAGAAGCTGGTGATACTGAGAAGCTGGTGATACTGTTCTTCTGTGAAGAAGTGTCCTGCAAATGTGATGCTTGTATTGCCCTTTTGCTCTTGCACCTCTTGTGGTCTGTCCACTTGTACATTGTGTGCTACAGTTGTATTCTTTCCAAATGGCTTCCTTTTGGATTTGAAATCTGCAGGATACCCAATGAGTTTGTAACATCCATCTCTAATGTGACCCTTCATTCTACAGTAATCACAGTATAGTTGGTTCTTTGGCTTGTAACCTCCAATGAATCCTTGTCCACTATTATCGACCATGGCATTGGCTTCATGTCCTGTGTTGTTGGCCATTGCTTGAGCTCTTATATCTAAGGTACCAGGTCCAACAACTCTGGTTCTTTGACTCTCATCCTGCACCACCATTTCATAGGCTTCATTAATGGTTGGAGTTGGAATCATCAGCATTATTTGCCCTTTTACCTGTGCGAAGGACTCATTCAGACCACTTAAAAACTACACCAAGCGCTGTTGCTGAATGTGTTCCGAAAATACTCTTGATTCATGACAAGGACATGAAGAAGTGGGAATCATAGCATCATATTCGTCCCACAGATCCTTCAGCTTTGAATAATAAGTGGAAATAGGTGCTAGACCTTGTTTCAGTGCTATAATCTCATGATGCAGATTGTAGACCTTAGAAATGTTCCTTTTGTCAAATCTCTCCTTAAAATCCTTCCACACATTGTACGCAAACGATGCATATACTATACTACTATAGAGTTTCTTCGTCACATCATTCATTATCCATGATAATACAAACGCATTGCATCTCTCCCACTGAATACTGACCATGTAGCTAAAATCTTCCTTCTTACAAGTTCCTTCGATAAATCCAATCTTATTCTTCGTTAAAAGCCCAATTCTCATAGATCGAGACCACATATTGTAATTTTTAGTTCCTATTAGCTTGAATTCGATCACCCCTGGCATATCAGAAGGTCGCAAATATAGCGGATGTGTGTGTGAGTTAGCACAGTTTCATCATTCGTTCCCTCGTTCCATCCTCAATCGCCATCTCAGCTCTAAATCAATAAAATCCTAGCTTTTGGAATCAATGAACAATCTGTAATTGGACTCAAAATCAGAAAAACAAAAGAGTAAACACAAATCAACATATGTGAATCAACAACATGCGCCGCCAAATCGATGGCTCTGATACCATATTAACTTTCTATATTGAAGAAACGGTGAAATGAAGGGACTGAGAAGTAAGCTTACAGAGGAAGAAATTTTCTACATTGCTCAATCAGAGAGGAGATTAGAAAATAATGTCTCTTACATAAAGAAGAGTAACTACTTCCGTTAATAAAATCAACTAACTTAAAAGCAATTGTTAACTTTTACTATTTACACTTTGGTCCATCAACCTTCTATATGAGCTAATTCATCACCTTGGCTCAATAATTTTGAGATGGTAGCTAATGTTTTATTAGTAGTTAAAAAGTCCCTATTTGTCCATTTTATCTAAAAATAACGCCAAATCATAGTAACAGTGCTGGCTAACCACCTTTCAGCCTTATACTTGAAAGGTATCCACTATCATGGGGTTTTAAATTTCATAGACACAATTTCATGTCAATATCTTGGAATTTTACCTCTAAAATGTAAAACTTCATGAGGAACTAAAAAGTAATTATTTGTGAATTTGATCCAAAATACAAACAAATTGGAGCAGCACTCTGTTTAGACAGTATAGATGACACCAGGTAGCCACTTTAAAGGGCTGTTATTTAGAAATTAACCAATGTATCTTGAATTATAGTTTTTCAGGACATAAATATCATGAATTGTCCTAAGATTAAAAAAATTTAGTTTAAATTTCAGGACAAAATAAGTACAGGTTAATTCCTAAATAACAACCCTAAGAATAGTTGTTTGTGAATTTTCATATGTACCCACTTTTGGACCCACCCTTGAAGCTATACTCGTATTACATAATATTTTGCAAATCGTATCTGCTCGGATTTGAAGTAGTTCAATCTCTTCAATGTAACCTCAGAAATCAAATCTAAAGTTCTTCTATCTTTCAAATGCAACTTTAGAAATTCGAATCTTAAGTAACTCAATCTCTTCAATGCAACTTCAGAAATCAAATCTAAAGTTTTTCTATCTTCCAAATGCAACTTCAGAAATTCGAATATTAAGTAGTTCAATCTATTGAATGCAACTTCAGATTTCGAATCTTAAGTTATGAAACATAAACTTGTTCTTCGAATTTAAACAATCCATTATACGATTTAATGTCGAAATTTACCCCAAATAAGCTCAAAACTAAAATATAACTTTCAAATTTCATAAAGAACAAATCTCAATCATTATATTGTCAAAACAACAACAAGTCTAACAAGCACATTTTAAAACTAAGAAATAAAAGAAGAAACTCTAAGCACAAAGAAGAAGAAGAAGAAAACAATAGTAAAGAAGAAGGGAAAATTTTGTGTCTCAAGTTATCCAAAAATTGAGTATCAATTAATTTTGTTTTTAAAAGTGGGTGCAAATTTAACGGGTAGTGCAAAATTGGGTGCCACATGAAAATTTTAGGGGTATTGTCACTTTTAACCCATATCAGAAACTATTTATATTCGGTAGCCAAAAATATATACATATATATAACTATTATTTTGAGAGCTACAGTACAGTGTCATTTTCTTTTTATTACTTTTACGTACTTCCCCTTCGACAGTCTCCAATCCCAAGTATAGCCCAACTGACTTCGGCCCAAATCCGTAAAAAGATTAGCCCACACCGACCACAGCACCGCGTCATTATTGGTTGAAAGGGCAAAATAGTCAATTCGAAAATCCCATAACAACCAAAAAGAAACGTCACACGAATTTTCTTGGTCCTCGCAATAACAAATTACAGATAAAATCAAATTTATATTAATTCTAGCTTCAAAATTTTCCCTTATCAATTATTTCTCCTCTCTCTCTCTCTACTTTCTCTCTCCGTCGCATCGGTCGTCGTCCGGCGACTCTTCTTCCTCTTCTGATCTATCCATTTGATGGATAACGGACCACCTCAGCCGTCAGGTTAATATATTTTTCTGTATCGCGATTTTTTTTGGTGGATTTAATTTTGTGTTTGTGAAGTGATTTCTTTTTTAAATTTTATGTTCGGGTTAACTTGTGTGCACGTTGATTAATTTACTGGATACTTGTTATTTATTACCGGCACATGTATCGGATAACTCTGTTCGCAAAGAATTACCTAGTTTTTGTTTTCTTCTTAATTTTGTGTTCAGGTTAACTTGTGTGCACCTTGATAATTTACTGGATACTTGTTATGTGTCACCAGCACATGTATGGAACAGGTGGAAAGAATTACGATTTTTATTTATTTATTTATGTTTGCCTTTGTTGAGTTTTTTGAACTCTGATATAGCCGATTCCAACTTGTTTGGGACTAATGTATAGTAGTTGTTGGTGTTGATTTGAACTCTGGTTTCCTATGGTCCATTCTAGCTGCTAAGTCACATCACTATTTGGTATTGGAATAATTTAGACCAGAATAGAGCGGATATGAGACTGACTAATTTGGGATCAAGTTTTTCGATTGTATCGAATTCATGTGTCCTTTTTCGTTCCGATCAAGATGAATTTGAATGGGAATTGTGCTGGAGCTCTTGCATACTGGAAATTAGTTCAGAGATTGGGGCTTAGGTTTGCTTTCAATCTAACGCCTTTACCCACTTGAGACAGATTTTTTTGCACCTTTTGTATTTTCTAGTGTCTTAGATTTAGTTGTTAAGATTGGTGTTGTCTACCGTACATATATATAATGTGGTTCTGATAAAGCCTCTAACTTTCCTCCTAGGAAATCTCAATCTTCTAGGAGTGTAAAAGGTCAAATTATTGAGCATTGGAATGTAATTGATCATACTGGAGCAGAACAGATATTGGGGATTATATAACTGACTACAACTAGCTTAGGATTAAGTCATAGTTGATTAATTGATAGGACACTTTTGCATTTGAGCTGCTCTCAGGGTTCGTGGCAAAAATTTTGAGTTGTTTCAAAGAGGAAATGTTGGTATGAAATACCATTAAAGCCATTCGTTAGCCATTTAAAATGTATTTACGGGGTCATATTTTTGCATGTGATAAGATAATTGTGTGCCCTACAATTTGATCATTAATCATTAGAAGTAGTAAAACTAAATTAAAGCAACTTCATTACACATACCGTAGCTACTTCTAGCAGCTGATACTTTGCAATCTTAAAACCAACTTCTTTATAGAATTAATAATTAGGGAGAAAGCATACGGAATTTCATATTCTTCTAAAGTTTGGTCTTAGTTTCTTACAATAGTAGTTGCTATGTATTTATTTTGGTCAGGTTAAATAGATTGCCACATTTAAAGGCTATCTAATGTTACTGGTTTCTCACAGTAGATTTGTCTATTTATTATAAGAGCAAGGCTTAAAGAAATTTTAGGCATTCCTAGTAAGTACTTTTGTTGTATTTGATTAGATTCCACGGAGGCAATCTACTCTCGACTAACTCATTTTTCCACTTTTTACTTTCGAGTATTATTGAGTTAATATTTGTTTTCCACGGCAGGTAATAGCCCACCTCCGAAACCTTGGGAACGAGCTGGGTCCTCTTCGGGCCCTACACCTTTTAAGCCCCCCTCTTCTGGTAACACGAGTGACGTAGTAGAGGCATCCGGAACAGCCAGGCCTGGTGAGATTGTTTCAACTGCTAATAGGAATACAACTGTTAATAATAGCACACTTGCAAGGCCTGTACCTCCTCGACCTTGGGAGCAACAGCAAACTTACGGTAGCGGAGGTATAAGATGTTTATTAGTTCATTCTCCCTCTCGCTCTTCTGTGTGTGTGTTTCGTGTTTCCAGTTAGCGGGTTGACCATCCAGAAATCTATGATTTCAAACATGTCATTTTTAATCCTCAAAGACACTATTGTATGTCTTTCATGCTAGGACAGCTGTTTTATGGTTTTTTAGTGTCCTTTACATCCTTAAGGTCCACTCTTGATATCACAAATGCTGTCCCCCTTGCATCAAAGACTGCTTATTTAGTGATGTGTATTATGATCTCGGCTTTAGAAGCATGCATGTGATTTTTCATTATCATAACGCAATAAGTGATTTATTATTACGCACGCCATCATTAACTAGGCAAGTTCTTCCTTTATATATTCTGATTTGACTTACTGTGTAATTCTATTGCATGCATTATAAGATTGCCTTGTTTAAAAAAAGCATTATAATGTTATCGAAGTCTGAACTCAAACTGCCCCACTTATCCTTTTTTTGGTACTCATCTTAGTCATTGCTCCTGTTAAATTGCCTTAACCTCTGATTGAATATTCCATGGAACTGGCATCCATTCTGCTAGTATTACTTTCTATCTTACGTATCTATTCTCGGGGATGAAGTGCCTACTTGACTTTGATTCATTGGCAATAAGATGTATGCAACCCAAGTCCTACTCTTCTTTATACTCTGTATTCCTGGAAGTACAAATAGCATCTGTGTGTTTACCTAGCCAAATCTAAATGTTGTTATGGACATACTCTTTTTCGTTTCCCCTTACACTGAAGAGGACTTTCTTGATTGTTGAAGGTTTTGATCTAGTAATTGAAGTTAGTAATTGAAATTGAAGTAAGAGGAGCTGAGGCCTTTTATAAAGAGTATTGATCTGATTATTTGCTTGATTTGATCATAATGCAGGTTATAATACAGGGATGAATTATAATTCTGGATATGGAACTGGAATGTATGGTTCTTCTTATGGCGGTGGCTATGGAAGCACATACGGAAGTGGTTTGTATGGAAACAGTATGTATAGAGGAGGTTATGGTGGACTTGCAGGTGGTGGCATGTACGGTGGTGGAGGAATGTATAATAGTGGGTTTGGTGGCTCAATGGGGGGTTATGGCATGGGCATGGGCATGGGCGGCATGGGTGGCATGGGTGGCATGGGCGGCTTTGGGGACCAAGATCCAAATAATCCCTTTGGTGCTCCATCTTCCCCACCGGGTTTCTGGGTTTCCTTCATGCACGTGGTAAGCTCTAACAGTACCAAATAATCTATTTCTGTTCTTTAAGTTTGTTTTGGGGCGCCTAAAATGACTTTGATTTGCATAAGTCCCTCGTTTGACCTGCATTTCAAGTAAAGCCTATATTGGCCTTCTTGTTGAATTTTTGTTTTTGGATTGCATAATAGACTAATATTAGGTGCATGTGAATGGGTAACGGAGCAAGGCCTCCAAAATAAAGAGATGGAATCACATAGGGAAGGATAGAAATTTAACAAGGCTTGTGAAATCTCAATGGCTTCTTGCAAGTCCTGGGTTTCTGTAATGAGATACTTTTAGTTAGACCCCAGTTTATCCCAAAAAAATTTAGTTAGATCCCTTAATGTTTTTGATAATAAGATACAGGCTAAGCTTTATAAATTGTGTAATCTCTCTTATATGACATTTGTGATTTTCTTGCCTGCAGTTAGTAGGTTTGTCAATACCTATGACTAAGAACTTGAGGCCCCCTTTGAATTATCAAAAAGTTCAAGGAGATTTAAATGAAATTAAGAGTTCTTTTACGTATTGTATTTTGGGTTCTGGTGTGAGGAGAGGATTGTTCTTTGGTACCTGGTGCTATTGAAAGTACTAGTAACATAGGGTATTAGTCTTTACTTTATAGACATCATGTATGTCTTTTGGCCTTGATAACTAATTGTTTGACTTCCTGTAATTGTAATAATGTAGATGCAAGGTGTTGTAACTTTCTTTGGCCGCGTCGCAATGTTGATAGACCAGAATACCCAGGCATTTCACATGTTCATGTCGGCACTGCTTCAGGTATATCTTCACTTACAACTGCCCTTGCATCCCAACAGTTTTTAAGTAACTAGTGCTTCATTTCATTGTCCTTTAGAAATGTATTTCTACTGTCCTAATAATTTGTGGAAAAGCACTCAGGATATATGACATGAGATTTCACTAAAATGTCTTTTGCAGCTGTTTGATCGCTCAGGAATGTTATATGGAGAGTTGGCTAGATTTGTGCTGAGATTGCTTGGTGTCAAAACAAAGCCTAACAAAGTTCATCCCCCGGGCCCTGGTGCACTTCCTGGTCCGCACCATCCTCATGGCAATCAGAACTTTATCGAGGGGCCTAAGGCTGCTCCAAGTACTGGCTGGGACAATGTGTGGGGGGATAATGCACAATGATCCTTAGTAGTTAACTTTGAGTTGTCACCTACCATCAGAAGCAAATGATAACTGGCTGCAATCTGTATGAAAGTTAAAGTATTGATAAGAGCTATGCTGGTGTACTCGTATGTAAACCCGATCTACCGTGAGAGATTGGCCTGCTGCATTTAAATGAGAAAAATCTCTCTCTCATAATTTCGTAGGGACTGCCAAATTGTGGGGGATTGTAGTCTATTGATCAATGTGCACCCTAAGTTTGGGGATGATCCGATAGTTTTATAGATATGGTGTGTGATTTCTATTGATTGGTGATAAATGCTTCATTGAGCAAGATTTATGTAAATCCACCAATTGCAAAGTCTTCAATGACTTAACGGCTATCTTCTTTGTTATACATGCTCTTAACCTCATTTATTTACATACTAGTAAAGGAGCAGCACGGGCCCAATAAGCATATATTAAATATTAAAAGGAATTTTTACATTCCTATACACTATTTGAAATTTTATTACTCTCCCTACTCAAGTTTCAATTTAATTACATCACATATATAAATTTACCAATCATATACACTTTAGGAATTAAATGAGTATCCTTTTATATTATGAATCAATTATTTCACATCCTTATTCTCTCTCCCTCCGTCTTTCTCTCTCTCTTGCGCTCTCTCTCTCTATGTCTCTCTCTATTTCTCAATCCCTAATTCCAGTAATGTAGAGCAAAGGGTCTCTATGTCTCTCTCTATTTCTCAATCCCTAATTCCAGTAATATAGAGTAAAGGGAAAGAGATCAGCAATTCCATGCTTATTGAAATTCCAGTAATATAGAGATGAAGGTGTTGCACAATTGGTGTTCACCATTGACAACCATTAAAAAGCTTTGAAGCTTTGAATTCGAATTTGAGTTTTCAAAAATCATTATTTGTTTGGATTGGGTGTTGTTGCAAGCAATTGGGAATATTGTTTGGAGTTTATATCTCAATTTTGAGGGTGTTTTGGTGAAGATTAGACTTGATTTTGGCTGAATTTCAGATTGAAACTCGAAGAAGAAGAAGAAGAAGAAGAAGAAGAAGAAGAAGAAGAAGAAGAAGAAGAAGACATGATGTACATTATACTTACGAAATTGTAGTAAAGTTGTAGTAAAATTGTAGAAAAATTTTATTCTGTTGTTTATATATATATTTTTTATTTAAACATTGTATGAAAGTTGAACAATATTGTATAAAAATTATATTTTAGTTGTATGATATTGTAGTTGTATATAACTGGGTAAAAATAATGTATGAAAGTTGTTGATAAGTTGTAGATAAGTTGTATAATATATAATTAGTTGTATGAAATTTATTTTTACTATGTATAAATCAGATACAAAATATACAAAAGACATATTGTATAAAGTTTGTATAAAAATTGTAGTTAAGTGGTATGATATTGTAGTTGTAGATAAGTTGTATAATATATAATTATTATGTATGAAATTTGTTTTTACTATGTAAAAATTAGATACAAAATATACAAAAGACATATTATATAAAATTTGTATAAAAATTGTATTTAAGTTGTATGATATTGTAGTTGTATTTAAATGGGTAGAAATAGTGTATGAAAGTGTAGATAAGTTATATAATATATAATTATTATGTTTAAATCAAAAATAAAATATACAAAAGAAATTTACTTGTCTCACAATTGCTTTATAAAATTGTACTAATAGGTATATCTTGTTCTGTTTGTACGTGCTAGTCTAATTAAGTATATGCTTATATCCAAATTACGATTGCCCAGATAAAGTTTCCTCTTGCCTTCGGTGGATGTATAGGTGACGAAGTGGGTAAATGGATTATATATGAGTTGTATAAATCTTCACCCATACCCATTTATACCGTGCATGTTTGTTACTGTTTTAACCATTTTCCGCCTCTAGCCCAAAGGAGTAGCACATGCTGGAGCAATGCCCCCTAAATTCTTTATCTTAATCCTTATCTGGCACGTTGGGTGTGAGATAAAAGGTTTATTGTTGTTTTCATATCTCTTCTCTATATCAGTTAGCAGTTCTCCTGTCAAAGGCTGGTTGATTTTGGGAATGTATATTTTGCCATGAAGTAGTAAGAGTGGTGATTTCTATATTTTGCCATGAGGGAGAAAGAGAGGGTGACGGTACTCGAGATCTGAGGGATTAGATTCTCTAAATTCCCAAATATAAGTTCAATCTGGAGAGATGCTTTTCTTCATCAAAAGATAGGTTTCAGAATTAACATTGTGATTTTAAGCATGAAAACTGAGCCATTTTCCGTTAAAGATTTTCTTTGTTGGGTTTAAGCATGGTCTCCTGTCAGTATTTAATTAAGATTTTTTTACTCTTGGTTGTTGATGTTTATGTTCTTCATGTTCAGAAGAGTTTAAATGCCTCAGTCGTGCTCACTGATCTTGTTTGTTGTAAGAGGAGAGAGAGGAGAGAAAAAAAGAAAAGGGTGTAACTAAATCTCTTTATTGAAGGCATAAATAATAGATTGAGAGCCTTTTAAGGTGGATTGTATATATTTTGTAACTAAAATATGTTTAGGTCGGGTAAATACCAAAACATGGACATTTTTCGTAATAAGGTTTCAAATAGTGTATAGGAATGAAAAAATTCCAATATTAAATTATAATTTTTGGGATCTTCATATAAATAAACGGTCAGATTCATTATTTATTTCCTTTAGTTGGCATATATAAATTATATACTAATGATACATGATTATACATATAATATATATATGAATTATACATACGCGGTCTTGTTTTTTTTTTTTTTGGTTAAGAGTTCGTCTTCGAAGAATCCTAAAGTTAATCTTAAATCAGCTAAAAAATAAATTTTAAAAAGAGCTTGCTTGATGTTCATATTGTGCTAATCTTGGTACTAAAGATTCCTTTTTATAACATAAAATATTTGTTACCACCTTAAATACAAAATTCATTTAGAGCAATTTTAATATATTTTCAAGATAAATATTTCTTTTATCCATAGCATAAAAGATTTGGCGACACATTTAGGCAAGAAATTTATTTTGAGATTTTTGTCAAACTCTTATTAAGCTTCCTTTTCTCATATTTTAGAGCTAAATTATGATTCTAATATATAAAAAATTCAATCCCCTTTCAGGTACAAGATATGTACTCTCCAAGAACGAAGACTCAATCACATAAGTTTACAAGTTTTATTGAACAATTCACTTTAGCTATTTGGTTCTCCAATTGTCCTACTAACAATGAACACAAGTTATTTAACAAACATATTCATTCCCAATGATTGAAAAGAAGAATGGCCATATACAGTTGCATTTATATTTCTTCATTTGTGAATTAATAGAATTTATTTGCAACCTATTCTTCTTCTAGTGGTAAGTGAAAAATATAGTGATAGTATATAATCCTTTGTTGAATACTTCTTCTATCATAATAATAATTAACACAATTTAGTTAGGACCCCTTATTTTTTTTATAGTAATTGAAAAGCTTAGTAAAATACTATATAGTTGTTTCTTTATTTATTCATTTTTCATAGTAATGGATAGTGCTTGTTTTTCTTTATTACCTTAGATTGACTCTATTACTCTAGCCAAAAAATTTTACCCAAATTGTTTTTACTATTATTTTCGTAAGAATTTAGAGTTGAGTATGCTAAAGTTAGATCGATTTTAGTTTACAATGATGAAAATAAAAGATTTAATTTTAATTTACAAAATGAGCTTATTTTGTTTACGCAAAAAAGGGACCTACTATTATTTATTTATAAGATTTTACAAACAAATATGCTAAAGTTGGAAAAAATTTAATTTACAATGAAGAAAAGAATGATCAAGTTTACAAACAATGAGTTTTTTTTTGTAGAAGTACTACTTTTATAAAGTTCACGTTGAAGAAGAAAACATTTGAAAGCGTGCCAAAAGATAAAGATGGACACACGAGAATTTATGAGCATGGCACTTTCATGTGAATTTGTATAAGAGTGCCATGGGATTTAGAGGAAATAATGTTGGTTTTTCAGTCAACACAGCAAAAGGTCAAGTCGCTGAAGCAGAAGGTGCAATACAACTGAACCATAAATTCTAAAAATACCCTTATGCCGGGCAGAAATGTTGACCATGAGCTGCCTGGTTATTCCCACTTATCGTATAGGAAATAGAAATAGAAATAGATTTAAGGCATTCAAAATGTATTTTGCATACTTACATGATTCTTGTAACTTGTTGATAATGCATCGTAATTTCTTTCATACTTACATTGAAAAAGAATGAAAAAAGATCTTTTAAGGATACTTTCCATGCACTTAACAGAACATCAAGCATCATGCTTTTACTTTTTCCCTTTTGTACTTTTTTTTTTTTTTTTTTTTTTTTCTTTTTTTTTTTTTTTTTTTTTTTGTGGTATAGAATCTAAGATCATTCAATCACAGTATACAAGTGACATGGCCGAACACATTTAACCTAGGGAACAAAGGTGGATAGTAGTGGATTTAACCATAGGTTCACATGTTCGGCCGAACCAGCGTTTTGGGACCAAATACTGTGCAAAAAAGCAAGTATAGATAGAGTTATATATATATATATATATACTTTTCAGCATCCAATCTCTCAACTCAGAACTCACGGCGTCTAAATTTTAGTATTCAGCAACAAACAACTGTTCTGCGTTGAATATAAAGTATGAATCCATACCCTTAGAGGATGGGGAATGAACAATGTTTCTGCAATTTGTAGAGCAATATTTATTGTAATTGTATACATGCATTAATCAAATCATCTTTTGCTTATGAGGCACACAAAAAAAACATAAGAAATTATACACAAGAATCTTGAAGATTGTTGCCACCTATTTAAAACCGAAAGGCTCCTTGAGGGCAAATACACATTATTTCTTCTTCTTTGACCTCTACATTTCCTCTGGCAAGTTTAAAAATCTCCAATGCTACAGCACTGATCTGAGAACATCTGGTAATGTAAAGGATGGAGAGGCATTTGCAGCCGGTTCTCAACGCTTGCAATCCGCGGTCACAGAGATTTCTACACCGATTAACGTGTAGCGTCTTCAAGTTATGACAATGTGATGCAATAGATTCCCACCCTCCTATCATGACCCCATGACATAATGCTAAGTTCCATTCCTGAAGCAATGGACAACCCTTTGCTATTGCCATGATACAATTATCGCCAATCGTTCTGCTGAACCGGAAATTTAACACTCTCAACTTTGCAGCAAATCCGACACTAATAGCTACTAAACCATCGACATGAATACACCAGGTCAAGTTACACACACTCAAATATTCAAGTCCACCTCCACTTAGGATACTCCGTATTCCATTAGGCTCGAGCCTACATGAATCGGCTTCCAAATAAGTCAGAGTCTGAGAACATCCTTGAAAGCCAGCACCGGTTAGGTTTCTACAATAGGATATCCTGATAGCTCTAAGATGACGGCACTTTTGTGAAATAGTTCTTATGCCATAATCAGAGATTCGAGGGCAATATGAAAGATTCAGATCTTCTAAAGCTACACAAGAATTAGATAAGGCCTCTAACCCATAATCTGTAACATTACACCGGTAAAGACTTAGTATTACCAACGAAGAACAGCCAGAAGCCACAAAAGAAAGACCATTATCAGTTATCCTAAAACAACAGTCTAAATTAAGACTTTGCAGCTTTGATCCATGAGGTGGCAACAAAGCCAAACCCGAATCTGGAAGCTCGGTGCATCCAGAGAGGGACAATGATTCTAGTTGCTGGAAACGGTTCAGAAGCCTATATAACTGGAATGTACTGATTTGGGTGTTATTTTGAGATAACGAGGAAATATTAAGCATAGTTAAAGAGCATTGGAACTGTAAAGATCTTCTATTCAGATTTTGAATTTGAAGCCAACGACGACATGTTAAGCCAAATGACTCACGGTCAGGTCCGCAATCAAGGTGTTGAAAAATACAGAGTAAACAATCGTCTGGAAGCTGCATGACGGGTGCAGAGAAGTCATCTGATGGACTATCCATTTCTACCAAGCTAACACTCCAGTGAAGATGTGAAGCTTGAAACTTCACAACAATCTTATCAAGACAGGCTAGTTAAAAGGAAGAGGTTTCTAACTTATGGCAAAAAAGTCTGATTTTTGAACGACAAGGTACCCCAGAAGTAGGAAGGTAGTTACTCGTCAACCTGAGTAAAATGTCAACAGACGCCATTGTTGGTTTTATCTATACCTTCTACCGTATTCGGAACCAATACCAAAAGCGAAATGATTGGAGGAAGTTAACTTGAGAGGTTAGCTACACAAACCACCACTGCAAAAGAATAAGAAAAATCGCATATCAGCTGACATTATACAGCAGTTACATCACTAAGCATACCACACATGAGATATCTTCTCTCTTGTTTATATTGAAATGTTTTGAAGCTTTAAGAAATTAACAAAGGTAAATTGTAAGCATGTCAATATAATTTTAAGATGCATCATGCGCGCATATATCCACTTCAATATGAATGCATAATCTCAAAATTCTGCAGTACTAGTAAATGTAATTGGAAAACCCATAAGATTGATAGATTATACCGACCTACCTCAAAAGATCCAAGAAAGTGCAAAAGTAATCGAGCTTAAAAGCCGTTAAGGAAAGTTACCTAATTGTCCTCCATGCATACCAAGGGATAGCTAGACAACAAAAGCATCAGGAGCTATTATCTCAAAATAATACCATGCACATCTTAGTGAGGATAAAGAATATTTACAATACTGATGTGCATGCTTAACTATCTCGCCCCTTGACTATTTGGATATGGAAAAAGGATCCCACATTTTGTGAAGTCTTGAAATGTACTCTTGGGATACATAGCCACACATATCAGCACACATAATTGTGTCACAAACAATGCCTCAACTAGGAGAGAAGTACAACGTATCTTGGCGAACGAGCTTCAAAAGCACTAACTATCCTGCAGACACACTTGCTGATAGCTTGTATAGAAGGTGCATCCTCAAAGGTAGGATGAGGAGTTAAATTCCTAACTCATGTATGCAATACCTTCAAGGATAAGAATATGTGTGGATCATATTTTGAAGGGTTTCACTATATCGGGTGGAGAATCAAAGAAGAGTGTGATACATGCACACAATATGTGTAGAACTCCATTAGTGTGACCTTACTCACATTGCCGGTCTCAAGCCTGGATAAAGGAGGAGGGGTTGAAATAGGCTGACAACAAGTGTAAAACTAGCCAATTCATCATGAATCCTAATAATATAGCTGACGGATGAAATCAAATTTGAAGTAAGCTCAACTTACAAGAACGGCAAATAACAGCCCTAGCAGATTACCTTTATACCTATTCTAAGGAAATTTTCGTAAACTACAGGTAGCTTTGAGGTCCCCCTCACTACAATAAGTCACTATCTTGGGTAATACATATTCCAATAGAAAGATTTAACCAAGCTCGAATCGTCCGTGAATCCTTGTATCACATTGCAGATTCAGACAATTGACAACAACAACAACATACCCAGCATAATCGCACAGAGTAGGGTCTGGGAGGGTAAAATGTATGCAGACCTTACCTCTACTTGTGGGGTAGAGACGTATGTTTCCAAAGACCCTCGGCTCAAGAAAACAATTTTGAAGAGGTCAGATTCAGATAATTTGAATTAAATATATACAAAAGTAGTCCTACAGCTTGCATTTGTTCTTCACGTAACAATTCAAATAGACCACATAAAATCCAGCACATTGACAATTGTTCTGGAGTTGTTAAATCCTCAACTAAGAGTTTGGTATTATGATACCCTTTTCGTAATCAACTACGAAAAATAAAGATTTGCAACATCTGCCAAATATGGGGTCTATAAAAATACAAGTTCTTTAAATCTTACTAATTCATATACCGATGAAATTTATCATTCACCATAACAAAATCCCAAGAAGCTTATCCAATTTGAGAAGATAAAAAGGTGCTTAAAAACAAAAAAGAAAAGATCCAAGAACGTACCTCTCGATACAGATTAGGGGATGATCTAAAATGAAGAGGAAATGTATAGAATGGAAGAGGGGAAGAGAAACACGTAATAGATGATGACTAATTGACGAGTGTGGTTTTGATCTACAGTAGATGAGTGGGTTTGACAATTTTTTTAAAATTTTTTAAAAACTGAAAATATTTTTTTTAAAAGAATACTCATGTATTATTTGAAAATGCAACAATTGTTTGTTATAAAATAAAGATTATAAAATAAATAAACTAAAGACAAGTATAGAGAGTAGATTGATATGTTATTCAATTTCACATTGATATATAATGAACTGAATTTATACCGTATAAAAGGAAACTATTGTGTAAGCTATAGATAATTTTCCATAGGGTTAATATTTGTCCATAATGAAGTACCGAAATAATAAGCTTTTTCGGGAGACTTATTTTCAATGGAGTACTAACTAGATAAACTTATTTATGATGGGGTCCAATATAGATAAGCTTCTTCACGAAGCTTATTTACAGCGGAGTACCAAATGGACACCCACAATATAATATTTTTATAACACTTAATGTACCTCGTTAAAATTTTACTAGAAAGAAATCCAATGGGAAAAAATCCTAGTCAAGGGAAAAGAGTACACTTATGTAATAGGAGCAATATACATTGCAAGTTGCTTCATTAAAAACCTTACTAGGAAAAATTAGTGGGAAAAAACTTTGGCAAGAGAAAAAGAGTACAATGCATACTTTACTCTCCCTAATTGTTTCAAATACCCAAGCCTTCACATTTCAATCTTGTATACCATATTCTCGAAGATTGCAGTAGGCAAAGACTTGGTGAACAAATTTGCCTGATTCTTACTTGAACAAATTTGTTGCACATCAATGTCATCATTTTTCTGAAGATCGTGTGTGTAGAATAATTTTGGTGAATTGTGCTTCGTTCTATCTCCTTTTATAAATCCTCCCTTCAATTGAGTTATGCATGCAACATTGTCTTCGTATAAAATTGTGGGTCTTTTATCACATTCCAGACCATATTATTTTGGAATGAAATGAATCACTGATTTCAACCATACGCATTCCCTACTTGCTTCATGAATAACTATTATCTCAGCATGATTTGGAGAAGTAGCAATAATAGATTGCTTTGTGAAACGCCATGATATGGCAGTACCTCCACATGTAAATACGTAGCCGGTTTGAGATTGAGCTTTATAGGAATCAGATAAATAACCGACATCTGCATAACCAACAAGATCTGCACTACCTTTGTTAGCATAAAACAAACGCATATCAAGACTTCCCTTTAATTATCGCAATATAGGCTTAATCCTGTTCTCATATCTCCGTGTAGGAGAAGAGCTATATCTTGCTAGTAAATTGACAGAAAATGTTATGTTAGGCCTTGTAGCATTAGCAAGATACATAAGTGCACCAATTGCATTGAGATAGGGTATTTCAGGACCAAGTAGTTCCTCATCCTCTTCTGGAGGTCGGAACGGATCCTCATTCGCTTCAAGTGATCGAACAACTATTGGGGTACTCAATGGGTGCACTTTGTCTATATAAGAGTGTTTTAAGACCTTTTATGTATAGGCAGATTGATGGATAAAGATCACATCAGCTAAATGTTCAGTTTGCAGACCAAAACAAAAAATTTCTCTTTCCAACATCTTTCATCTGAAATTCTTTCTTAAGATATTCAATTGCCTTTTGGAGCTCTTCTGGAGTTCCAACAAGATTTATGTTATCAACATAAACAACAAGTATAACAAATTTTGATGTTATTTTATTTGTAAAAATATATGGACAAATTACATCATTTATGTAATCTTATTTCAGCAAATATTCACTGAGGCGATTATACCACATGTGCCCAGATTGCTTTAAACCATACAAAGATCTTTGCAATCTGATTGAATATATTTTCCAAGATTTTGAATATGATTCAGGCATTTTAAATCCTTCAAGGACTTTCATATAAATTTTATTATCAAATGAACCGTACAGATAAGAAGTAACTGCATCCATTAGACGTATTTCAAGCCTTTCATGTAGGGTTAAACTGATGAGATATCGAAATGTTATGGCATCCATAACGGGTGAATATATTTCTTCATAATCGACTCTAGGTCGCTAAGAGAATCCTTATACGACAAGGCGGTTCTTGTATCTTTCAATTTCATTTATCATTCTTTTTCGCACATAAACCCATTTATGACCAACTGATTTTATATCGGCAGGTGTTTGGACTACTGGTCCAAAGACCTCCCTTTTTAACAAGTGAGTTTAATTTTGATTGAATTACCTCTTGCCATTTTGGCCAATCAGATCTTTTTTTTCGACAGAACGGGGTTCAATCGCTATCTTGCATAATGTTACGTACAACATTATATGAAAAAACATTATCCACAACCATTTCAGATTGATTTAAATTAATCCCATCAACAGTAAAACTTTTTAAAAGTTTCCCGCTCACTTGAGTCTCGGGTGTATTGATTTCTTCAGGAATCTTAGAACTAATCAGATCTTGGATCTCTTCCGGAGATCCTTTCATCGTATTATTTTGATCATTTGTCGATATTTTCCTAGGATTTTGGTCCTTAGAACCCAAAAGTCTACCACGCTTCAGGCGTGCTTTAGATTCACTAGCTCTCACGCTAGTAGATGGTCCTGCTGGGATATCAATTTGGATTGGAACATTCTCTGCAGGGATATGTGACTTAGTTATCCTTTTCAAATCAGTAAATGCACCAGATACTTAATTTGCTATTTTCTGTAAGTGAATGATCTTCTGGAACTCATATTCACATACAAGAGCACGTGGATCAGAATGTGATAATGATGGAACTTTCCACACAATTTCTCTTTAGATCTCCTTTGGCTCTCCCTTATTTGTGAAAAACTTATTTTATCAAACTGACAATCTGCAAATCGAGAAGTGAATAAATTTCCCGTTAATGATTCAAAATAATGAATAATAGAGGGTGATTCAAACCAAATATATATTCCTAACCTTCTCTGAGGGCCCATCTTACTGCATTGTAGTGGTACTATTGGTACATATACAGTACATCCAAAAATTTATAGATGGACAATATTTGGTTCATGACTAAAAACTAATTGTGATGGAGAATATTTATTATAATGTATCGGTATGAGACGAACAAGTGATGTTGCATGCAAGATAGCATGGCCCTAAACAGTAGTGGGCAACATTATTTTCATAAGTTGTGGTCTTGCTATCAATTGCAGGCATTTAATAAATGACTATGCAAGGCCATTTTGAGTATGAACATGAGTTACAGTATGTTGAACTTTTATGTCAACTGATAGACAATAATCATCAAAAATTTGATATGAGAATTCTGCAGCATTATCAAGGCGAATAACTTTTATAGGATAATATGAGAATTGTGCCCTTAATCAAATTATTTGTGCTAGTAGTTTTGCAATCGACAAGTTGCGAGATGATAGTAGCCATACACGAGACCATATTGAAGACGCATCTATTAGAACCATAAAATATCTAAATAACTCATTTGGTGGGTTAATAGATACACATATATTCCCATGTATACACTCTAAAAAGTGGACCTCATATTCACATACAGGAGCATGTGGATCAAAATAAGATAATGATAAAACTTTCCACATAATTTCTCTTTTGATCTCCTTTGGCTCTCCCCCTAATTATGGGAAACTTATTTCATCAAACCGATAATCTGCAAATCGAGCAGTAAATAAATCTTCATCCAATGGTTCAAGATAGCGAATGATAGAGGATGATTCAAACCCAACATATATTCTTAACCTTCTCTGGGGGCACATCTTACTGCGTTGTGATAGTGCTACTGGTACATATATCCAAAAATTGGTAGATGAGTAATATTTGGTTGATGACGAAAAACTAATTGTGACGGAGAATATTTATTATAATGTGCTGGTATGAGACCAACAAGTGATGCTGCATGCAAGATAGCATGGTCCCAAATAGTAGTGGGCAACTTTATTTTTATAAGTAGTGATCTTGTTATCTGATAGAAAATAAGAGTCCACCAAACAGTATAGAGAACCAGGTTCTCTATATGTTCCCACAGTCAACAAATGGAAAGTAAAACCAAACAGTATAGGGAACCAGGTTCTCTATCTGTTCCCACAGTAAATAGGCAGTAAATAAAGAATACGTAATATTTACGTGAAAAACTCCTTGCTCAAGGGATTAAAAGTCACGACCTACCCTAGTAGGATTTCAACTCCACTAAACTGAGCAAACTTCATATTACAACCTATTGCAATATAGGAATTAAACACTTAATTCCCCACCCTTTATAATAATTCTATTGTAAGCCCTTTGTAATAACTCTATTACAAAGCAACAAACCTTAACTAACTTTAGTCAAGAAACCAAACCAAATAATGGTTAAAATCTATCCTACAAAGACACTTCTTGAATGTAGTGTAGAATTACAAATGAAGAACAAAATAATAAAGATTCAACAAACCTAAGGACTTGAGATATCTCCAATCTCTAGATCTGATCCTTGAGGTTGTAGCAGCTTTGTTCTTAAGAGACCTTGAAGGTTGTGGTGGCTAGCACTTGAGAGAATATAATTTTTAGATTTGCAGGTGTTAAGTGAAACCCCTTGCATCATGTTGATAATATATGTGTGAGGTCATGAAAGATGATGCAAGGGAGTGTCCGGTACGCTGCACGCTTCAACAATGTTGTTGTACTATTGCGAGTACAGTGCAACAATTTTAACAATTGTAGAGTTGACTAGTTACTCTGAACACAAAGGAACTAATTGTATCATGTTCCTTATCTGGTTCTCTCATGAATTTTGTCAAATTATCAAAACACAAACTAGCATAACTTATTAATTTTTGCCTTTTTGATGATGGCGAACCCAGAATTTATATTCATCCTGAGAACCAGACCAAATGAATTGATCACAACTGGTTCCACGAGACTGTTTGGCAAATCATCAAAATAAAAAATAGCA